ATCTCTTACTCTTCAACCTTTACTGAAGGCCCCAGCCAAAGCAATAAAACAAGGATATGAGAAATGTAATCATTAAAAAAGATGATTTTTAAATATATTTACTACTTTTGTGTAAAATCCAATAGGTTTAAAAGTCAAAATATTAGAATTAATGAAAAGGTTCAGCAAAACTGCTTACTTAAAACTATCATGCAAAAATCTATAATTATCTATTTGAAAATGTAACAGAAAAAGAATTCATTTTCAATAGAATTAACTATGAGCAATCTAGTAATGAATTCTAATAACAATAGACCGAAACTCAATGGAGAGTATCACAAAATAATACTGTAGGGTCTAAAGGAAGAACTATGTGAATGGAGAGATATATTTATGGATGAGAAAATTCATTATTTCAAAAATAAGAATTCTCTCTCAAATTTAGTGTAATTCCCACTAAAAATCCAATAGAATTTTTCATGAAACATGAACAACTGCTCATAAAATATGTATGGGAAAATGAAAGTCTAAAAATCCCTAGACAATTATCTAAGGGGAGAACAGCAAGAAGGCGTGGTTGGGGGCTTGCCTTAGCAGATGCAAATTCCTTTGAATAGCTCTAAGGGAGATACTGGTTTGGGAAGAAAATGACAGAACAGACCAGAATAGAGAGCCTATTAAAAATACCCCTACGACAAAAGCAGCATTACAAATTAGCAAGATATGGGTTGACTTTTGAGACAACTGTTTAATCATTTGGAAAAGAAGATAAAATTATTTGCCTACTTTACACCCCACATGAAAAACAAATTCCAGTTGGATTAAAGCCTAAATATGGAAAACAAGTGTTTCTAAAACATCTCATTCCCTCCTCAGTGGTCAAGCGGTGTTTTCAAACACATCCAAGTTCCTAAAGGTTTATTTTCAGAGAATACCACAAGGATAAACTAAATTTCATACTGACCACATATTTCCAAGGTAAAATTCAGTATCTATGAACATATGATTAGTAAGTGAAGTGTTCATAAGCTTGACAATCCACTGCTCATCAGACTTGACCAGCATTCAGCTCTGAGGGTCATATTTATGGAGATCTGGATATGGGTTTACTTTATATTCTCACTGCTATAACTAATATTTTGTACATAAGAAATGTGTTTTGGTTCTAAAAGCTTAAAAAGTTTGTATTTTGTTTTATTAATGAACTAAGCAAAGACATTTTGTTGGTCATATTTGTATTACAAGTATATTTTAATAATAGTTACATGTTCACTTGTGATAATTATTATGATTTATGATGACCATAACATTTAAAATAGTCAATTGTTTCACTTGAACTTGTAGAAAATATACATTTAAAGGTCGATAGAGTTCGACACTTACTTATATTAATATTATTGCTCTTGATTTGTTCTCACATGCATCCTTACTGACTTCAGTTATTTTCATTTGAGTTAAATAGTCCAGCATAACAACTTAGAAGAAAAATCATACAGTTCCATAGAACGTGTCTTCTAAAAAGATGCATAACATGACATAATTTTAAGTACTGCTCACCCTCAATGCTGGCACCATCCCAAAATCATCCAAATTACTCCTGTGATATCGTTATTTCTGAAATATTTGCTTCTATTTTGAAAATATATATAATTTGTCTAATTTATGAAAACTATAAAATCATCTTCCAGTCCATTAAGGCTCCTCACAGATGGAGTGCTTACAATCTCGGAAGTCTAGAGGGGGCAGAATGTCATTGCAATGAGTGGAAATTTGTGAAAGATTATATTGCATTACAGGATAACTAATGTCACTTGGATAAGATGGCTATGCTCAAGCCATCTGTGCCTGATTTGATTTTTCTGTGGGAGCCTAAGACTTTTAATTACCACAGGAGTCAGTGAACTGTAAAATTTAGATTATCTTTAAGAAGTCCATTTTAGGACCTTTGTTTAGTGCCTTAATTCTTAAAAGAATTAAGTTTCTATTTGTTAAGAGTAAAAGTTAAATCTTAAATAAATTCATTTAAGCTAAAAGAAAACTAGAACCAATATATTTGTAAGCTTTTCCTGGAAGAACAACTTAAAAGTTTCTATTTGGAGTATTCATCTCATACATCCGTATTTCACATTTCTGACTTCACAACACTTTACATAACAGCCCAGGAGCTGGAGGCGTCATTGATGAATTCTTGCTGTTCTCTTATTGGATGAAACTTTGGATTATTCAAACTCTTTTAAACTGTTATTTATTATTTATTTATAAATATAATATTTATTATAAAAAATATAAACATTTATTATTTTTTCTTTTTGATATATGATTTCTTTCCTCTTTCTTGGAATTGCTAGAATTGGTAAATAAGCCACATCCTGAATTGTCAGTTACCAGGAGGCATAAACTGCTTTCATTGTTTAAGGTAAATAGACTGGAGAGAGTAACCGTGGTAAGAGAAAGACGACCCTGTGGATTGAGGGGTGTGGTCGTGCACACTGTGTTAGATCAAGTCAATGCCTCACTTGTTGGTCATGCGTTTACAGGTATCAATTTTATCAATGAGTTGTTTAAAAAGGCTTTGAAACAGAAGGAATTTAAAAAAATTCCTAAGAGACTATTTTCAGACCACTCTACATATATATTTGAAACCAAGATTAAATGAATAATTTCTAGGGAAATACAGTTGATAAAGATTGGCCCCTATTAAAGGTAGAAAGTTTAAATAGACAAATTTCCATAAAAGAAGAAATGAACTATTATGGAACTATGCTTAAAAAATTCATGAGGCTCATATGGTTCCAGGGAGAATTCTACCAAACTTTTAGAGACCAGAATATTCCAATGGTCCACAAAATATTTCAGGACATTGAAAATCAGGGAAAGCTTTCCAACTTTGGAGGCTTGAAAAACAGTGTTACCTAAAATTTACAAAGATAGCACACGAAAAAGAAAAAGTTACAGACCAACATTACATATGTATACAAATGTGAAGGCTCTAGATAAATTGTTAGCAAATAGAATTGAACACTATTTTAAGAAAATAATATACCATGCCACAACAGAATTTATTCCAGGAATGCAATATTCAATATTAGAAAACACATTAATATGATCACTATATATTAGTGTATCTAAGGGACATACATATGACAATCTCCATAGGTGCAAAGAGCCTTTGATAAAATTCAACACCTACTGAACACAGAATAGCAATTGATATTTACTTTCTTTTTAAAACACACATTAATATTATCTTACTTAATGGAGAAACATTAAGGCATTTCCATTCAGACAGGGAAAAGGCAAGGATGTATACTATCTCCATTTTTAAAAAACATTTTAATGAGGATATTGGGAAATGCAATTAGATAAGGGGAATTAGAGACATAGAGTTGGAAATAAGGTGTAAAATTACATCAATTTGCAGATGATATGAGAGTGTACCTGCACAATCCTGGTGAACCAATGATCAAACTGACTTAATAAAAAGTCAGCAAGGCAGATGACATAAAATTAACATACAGAAATCAGTCGCCCTCATATACAAAACAATATGTTATTAGAGGATATAACTGTAGAAAAAAACTATACTTACCACAGCAACAAAAAAGATGAGCTAAAATGCCTAGCAATAAACTTAACACGAAATGTGAAAAATGTATACAAAGGAAACATATAAATATACTTGAAAAGTACAAAAATAGATTTTAACAAATGGAAAGATTTCTATGCTCTTGGGTAAATAATTAACACTGTACAAATGTCAGTTTTCCCTAAGTTAATTTATAAATTTAACATAATCCTAATAAAAGAATAAGCTGTTTTTGAACTAGACCATTTAACCCTCAAGTTTATATGGAAAAAAAACAAGAATAGACAGAGGGTGCGTTTGTGTATGTATGTGATTAGTCCTGCCAGACATTACAATATCTTCTAAAGCCTATTTAATTAACAAGGTTGGTATACTGGTATTAGAGTAGGTAAATAGCTTGATATAAGCAGGGAAAGCGATGGGGACTTCGGTGGGAAGGTTGCTTACATTCTGCACATTCTGTGCACGCCGTTACTGCAGGATGGGGAATAAGGGTAGAGATAACAGACTGGCCAACATTGGCTGCTTCCAACATGGAGGAGAAGTTGACTCTGACTTCACCTCCAAACACATTATACACTTATTAACACAGTAAAATTCATGACCCTCCAGCATTAACATAGTAGAAATCATGCTTCCTCACACCATGACAGTTCCCAGGAGAACCAAATACAGTAAAAAACACCCACACCTGATGGACGTGAGGGCGGAGCAAGCCCCAACTCTGCGAGGACCCCACCTGTTCCCTTTGAAACCTAATCTCACTTAGTGAATATTCATCTCCCTTCATATAAAAAAGATTTCCTATTGTTCTTTAGCTGCTACCCTCTCTGGGTCTGCCCACGCCCCAACTCTCAGGTGTATACTTTTGTCTTTCTCTGAACTTTATTCTCCAAATAAAATCTTAATGCTCAATGGCTTTTTGCATCTGTTCTTGAATTCTTTCTTGCAATGAGACCAAGGACCCATTTCTAGTAACACTGGCACTTCAGTAGACAGACTAGGGGAATAGGGTAAGACCCACGTGCACAGAGACAGATGATAAAGGTTGTATTTCAGATCGTAGCAGCAAAGGCACAATTTTCAATGACCTGATTGTTGTCTCCTCTGGTTGACCAGTTGGAACAGGTAAGATGAGACTTAGACCTCATGCCTTCTATCTCATACAAGGATAAACTAAATGGATCAGGGATCTAGCTGTAAATGATGAAGCCAAACAAGAAATGTATCTGACAACCTCTTCTTTCTGTAGGGTAAGTCTTTCAAATTATGGTTTAAAATCCAGATGTAATAAAAGAAATGATTAATAAACATTTTGAATACATAAACATTATAAATAAATGTAATAGGGAAAACGTTAATAGTCATAATATATATATATATATTTTTTAATCTCCACAAATCCATTTAAAAAAGCAATTAAAGATGCAAAAGAGATGGAGTCAATTCACAGAAGAAGCAACCTTAACAAAATACAAATAGTGAAAAGTGCTTAGTCACACTAATCATAGGGAAATAAAACATAAAATAATACAATATACCACTCATCAGAATGAAAAAGAACATTAAGCCTGACAATGTCAAATACTGGTACAAGTATGAGGAAAGAAATTCTTACACTGTTCACAGAATTATAAACAAGCATAAGAACAAGACGAACATTGGTCAGGTATGGTAAAGCTGAACATGTTCATATCCGAAACTCACACATTCTAAAATTTGGTAGAATAGAAAGAGCAATATTCTCATAATAGTCCTAAAAGAATTTTGAAAACCTTTACACCCATTCACATTTTTAAGTTAACTGGGGGTCAGGGAATGGGGAGTTATTTAATAAGGACAGTGTCAGTTTTGCAAAATGGAGACATCTGGTGGTGATGGCTGCACAACAGTGTGACTCTACTTAACACTTTGTACACTTAAAAGGGTTAACATGTTAAATTTTACGTTATGTGTATTTTACCACAATTGAGAAGATTTACCAAAGATTTCCAATTTTTTTTCAAATATGGATTTATTGTGCACTTGGTTTTATAATTCCCTTTGCCCTACTAACAGTGCACATATTTCAGAAAATTTAATGTAAATTGACATTTCTAAGAGTGCCTTTTGCAACTTGCAAGCCCACACAGGGCAACATTCTCTTTCACAAAAAGGTGCAAAAGTTTTGCCTGGTCTGCACATGTAGCGATTGGTAGTATAACATGAATACGTTAATGTCCTGTGCTAAAATTGTGGAAAATGTCAGGAAATTTATGCTGATGCTTTTCAGGGAACTATGTTGAGTCTGTGAAGTACATGAGTCATAATTCCCCATCAGGGAAACTAAAACTCCAGGGATGGTGGGACATTCAGGGTCTCCAAGGGAAAGAGGGATCTCCAGTCAGATGGGACAACTCCCAGAGAAGTAGGGGCTGGGGAACAGGTCAGGCTGCAGAACCAGCCTGGGTCTAGCTCACAGGGGTCCACCAGTGCCCAAGCAGTGCTGTTCACCTTCCGACCACTGACTCAAGATCAATGAAACATTTTAAGTAGTTCCATGTAGCACACTCTGATTTCAGTGTGAAGGGCAGATGAAGGAGGAAGAGCTGGAGGCAGGAACAGGCATTGGAAGAGGGCAGAACCTGAGCTGAAACAGGGAGCAGGGCGAGGACAGGACCTGCAGCTCGGGGCCAGTGAGGGTGGACAACCAGTAGGACTTGTTATTGCCTCTGGATCTTACAAGCAATGACTAGCTACAAGCAGGCTGTCATGGGAATAAAGACAACTGATCAGGTAATGACTGCTAAATATTCTAGCTCATAGCCAGGTGCGTTCTAGAAGAGAGCTTGTTTCTATTTGAACAGATCCTTACCTCAGCTCCTGAAATGGGTCGGCACTTAGAAGAGGTGTCTCCACTGAATGTTCAAAAAGAGCCCCTTCAGGCCCTAAACCAAACCAAACAGGCGTCATTTTACAAAGGTGAAAGAAATCAAACATTTAGTCTATATATATAAGCACAGGTAGATTCTCATCTTGGTTGCTGCATTTGTGCAGATGTTCAAGTTGTTGGGAAAAGGAAATAGACCCAACTGCCTCTCTACTTTTCTGAGCATACCATGCTGTCACTAGGTTCTTATAAACAAAATAATGGTTTTTAAAGCAATTACAAATATTCAGGCTTATTTTAAACCTGGAGAGCAGCATTTTCTCCCAAATTGAAAACGAAGTAATTTCTTTTAAGAGTGGCATAACTACATAGGTTTTAGTTTGTAGAAATTTGAGTAATTCTTTAGATTTTATGTGTAAAAGTTGCATCTTGTGAGTGTGTCTTAAGGCATATCATCAGGATGTGTCTAGAAAAAATTTTTAAATTTTCTAATTTCTAGGAGTCAGTGTGTTTTGTCATTTCATTGCTCTGAGAACCTAATTGTATGCAAGACATTTGGTTCAGATGCAGACATGCAGAGATGCACGGATAGAAGTAGTGTGCACTTTAACATATCCTCACTTGTTTAATGCTCAGAGACCAAGACAGAGAAGATTACCTTCCCATTTTCCTGAATAGGAAACTGAAGAACAGAAAGCTTAATTAACTTGCCTAGAGCTAGACAGTGAGTGGCAGGGCTGTGCTTTGAATCCAAAGCCCTCATCTGTACGCTATAGGGCTTCTCATACATAGTAATAAATACTACATGGTATGATAAAGTAATGTGCCCGTAGCAAAGTTACTGGCAATCTTGGGGGTCATCAATAGGGAAGAATTATTTTAAGGCATCAGGGAAGACTTGATATAGTAAAATGCAGTTGGTCTGATTCTTAAAATAAATAGACATTTGTGAATATACGGAGGTTGTGGGCAACGATTTTCAAGGTCAACAGCTCAGCAGCAGGAAAATGAGACTGGTGTATAGAAATGAATGAATAATTCAGTTTACTACAAAAGTAAAGGATTCAACATAGAAATACAAATTTATTTTCCTTATTGTATTTAAAATATTTATCCTCTTGAATTTTATGGGCATATGCACAGATTCATGTGGTACCACATTGCCTGCATCCTTTCTCATGAGGCTCTACCTGGGTAGAGGCGGTGCCTAACTGAGGCCCCACCTGCTTCTTAGACCTCTCCCACTTCTCAGGCCAATCCCCTTCTTAGGGTCCGCCCCTGGCTTAGACCCAACCCCAAGCTTGCAGTCTGCATCTGCAGTGTCCAAACACAGGTTTCTCCTGCTATTTAAAAGCAGAGCATTCCGATGACACCTTTTGTTAAGTGGAAATAGGTAAAGTGAAGTCTCCCCAGGTCTCGGAAAAGTGGAGTCAAGCTACTTCGCTTTTACAGAAGACCTACATTAGAACCTATTCGGATTTCCCTTTTAAGGAAAAAAACATTACCATGCTAATGTAGGAAAGTAAAATCAAAAAGGCAAAAAAACCAAATATAAAAATTTCAGTCTTATAATGTTAACTTTTATATTTTTTAAAGAATATGTCACTGAGAATCGATCTGGTAAATGGTCTGGTCATTTCTACTAATATCATTAGTATTTGCATAACACCATTCTTTTCTTCTAGTTCTTAGAACAATTTATGATGAAAGATATTCATGTGAAGATCTCTAGTTAGATTGTGGTACAAGGAGAACTGAAATGGTGATAAAGGCAGTTGAAGAGTTCTTGCATGGGGCCCCGCAATCACGGAGTTCACGGACGGGCCCAACACTTGGGGGGGAAATTGCTCCAAGTCGTCCCATTTTCCCAACACACGCCATGTGGAGTTCAATATTAATACTTCTGTTCAAACAGTGGGTTGAGAAGCCCAGGCAGTTGTTTTTGTTTTTACATCTACATTCATACTGTTTATTAAGATTAATTCCAACATTCATTGAGTATTTATAGACCAAAGTGGGCTTTTCAAGTGATGCAAAAAGATTTGTTTCTCCTTTTCCAGCCGGACTCCCACAGGATGTCTCCATTGCCCCCACTGTCTGTTCTCTGCTCCCACTTCAGACTGCCTTGTGCCTTAGCACCTCAGTTGAGAGTGTGCTTGTCAAGACGACAGTGGCCTCCAGGTGGGCAAAGTCAGGTGGTTTCTGTCCTCCTCTTTCCTGGACCCAAATTCTGGGAACACAATCCCTTGTGCCACCAGGAAAAGGGCTCTTGTGACGCGCCTCCCGCCACAGTGTCTGTCTGTCTGTCTCTCTCTCTCTCCCTTGATGGCTTCTCCTCCTTTACCTGGGCTCAGATGCTGGGATCGCTCAGAACGCAGGTGAGATGCCTGCATTTCTATCCCTCGACAGGACATCCGCCTTGAGCAGCACACAGGTAGCTCGCATATCCAATAGCTGACTTGACAGATCCATGGGTTGTTTCACAGTTATCTTCAATTTATGTATCTTAAACATTAATTGTCTAGTGTCTCTGCCTTGCTGATGTTTATTCTTCACCTTCCCAGCCTTCTCCAGTACCTAGAGTGTAATGTCATCACCCAGAAACAAATATATTTTCATCTTTGCTTCCCTCCCTTGATGCCTGTCACTCATTTTATCCATGGCAAGTCTGTCTATGTCAGCTCTTAATTTGGAGTCATTAGCTCCCCTCTTTGACCACTGCCATCACCTGACCCAGGCCACCATTGGCTGTTGCCTGTACTGCAATTAACATTCTCCTAACTGGTCTATTGTTCCCATTCTTTCCTCCAGATAACTCTTTTAACCCTTATAATGGTTATACGGATCTTAAAATGGTTAACAAATCAAGGAGTTCCCCTTCAAAACAACTTAAGGCCTTTCCCTTGCATTGAAAACAAATCCCAAGTCCTTAGAATGACCACCAAGTCCCCGTGTTATCTGTTCCTTTTCTATTTGCCCTTTTACCAGGCTTGCTTTGGATCCAAATTCAGTATGATTAAAAAATAACAATCGTCAAATATTAGGACATAGATAAACCCAAATAGAGCTGCTATCAAAATTAATGTGAATTCTTAAGTTCCTCATTAAAAGTCAGACTGGAATAAAAAAACTCCAGTTAAATGTCACTTATAAGAGAAATGCAAGCAATTCAATAAGGGGAGAATTTATTTAGGTTGGAAGGGTACTTAAAGAGGCCAGATCACCAGAGGCCATCGATGCCCTCTTACAGAATCTTAGAGAAGTCACGCACAGGGAAGTGATGCTTGGATTTGATGGGACCATTCTGCCAGTAAAAGGCGAACATTATACAGAAGAGGAGCAGAGCTGGAGCAGATACTATGGGACCAATCAGTCTCCCTGGAGCTACCCTACCTCCAGACTTCCCATGTAAGGTAATAAATGTCCTTACCGTTTACACCAGATTTAATTGGGTCTTTTGTTCCTTTCAGTTAAAGGTTGTTAACTTTTGGACCAGGTCATCAGCTGTCCCCAGAACTGCATCACAAGGTGTTCAGAGATCTCAAGTACTTGTTCAACAAATATCATGATCTGTAAGCATCTCCAGATTTCTATCTTCATGTTATTTTAAGAGACCTGGACATGGCATCATTGTTTATGTTCATTTTCTTAGTTATTAAAATCTTATTCTCTGGGTCCTCTTCTGTTAGTGACATTGTGGCAACTCCAGCATTTTTACGTCATTGCTTTGCCTTCATGGAATCCTGCTCAGCTTCACAGAGAGGTGAAGAAATAAAACTAGCTTATTGCTAGATTTTGGCTTCCTCATTAGTGGTGGGAAATGGTGAACCATTAAAGGACCCAGATTTTCTTACTTGATGTTGAGGAATGGACCCAGCCAAGCAAATTGTTGACAAGGAACTAAAATATTTTCTACCAGAAGCAGGTTCTGGCAAAGTATAGAATTAATTTTTTTAAGAAGATGTTTGATGTTCTTCCAATAATATGCTCTGAAAATGGGGTTAATAAAAATGGCAAGTTAACTTCAGTCATTTGGTGACCAATTCTATTTTTTAGGGGGGAAAATGAGAATGCTTCAAGGTCCAGGTTGATTTCAAACTGAATCAATAAAATTTTTAAATATCCTCCATAACTTTGATTTAAAACAAACCTTCAGTTTCCTAGTTGACTGAATTCTATATGAAAGCTGCTTAAGAATTTTTAAAATGTCATTTTATTGAAATATAGTTGGCATATAACATTATGTAAATTTAAAGTGTACAGCATGTTAATTTGATACATTTACACATTGTAACATGATTGCCATTGTAGTGATAATTTTACCTTTATTATGTTACCTAATTGTCATTTTTTTTTAGTTGCAATAATGAAGTCCTAGTTGGTTAGCAGTTTTGATGATTATAATATTGTTGTCTGTATTCATTATACTGTGCATTAAATCTCTAGGGCTTATTCACTACTAATTGCAAGTTTGCACCCTTCAACAATATCTGTCCTATATCCTTACCCACCATCCCCTTGTAACCACCATTTTACTGTTTTATGAGTTTTATGAGGCTTTTTTAGGTTCCACATATAAGTGATATTACATAGTACTTGTTTTTCTCTGATGTAATATGCTCAAGGTCCATCCATGTTGTCACAAATGGCAGGAAGTCAAGTCATGGCTGATAATATTCCATTGTAAAATAACACATTTTCTTTAACCATACATCCATTGATAGGCACTTATTTCCATATCCTGGTTACTGTAAATAATGCTCCAATAAACATGAGAGTGCATATATCTCTTCAATATCTTGATTTTATTTCCTTTGGATATATACACACAGAAGTGTAATTTCTGGATTATCCACTAGATTTATTTTTAAGTATTTGGAGAATCTCCATATTGTTTCCCATAAATTGGTTGAACCAATTTACATTCCCACCAACAGTGTATGCACAAGGGCTCTCTTTTTTCTACATCCCCCAACACCTGTTATCTCTTATCTATTTTATGATAGCCATCCTAATGGGTGTGAGCTGATATCTCGTGCGGTTTTGACTTGCATGTCC